GTAGCCTTGGTTACAGCATTTTCTACCAGAATACTCATTCTTTCACTTGAAATTTTTATAAAACCTATTCCCTTATAGTTATGTGTAAACATCTCCACCTCAACCACAAAAGAAAGGAAAACCCAATTATTAGGATCCTTGTACTAAAATTTGCACTTAACAAGTTTTAGTATAGATGTTTGCATTTATTAGCTTCAGTTATTTGAAGCAAAAGTGTTCCAATTTATTATAATTTGAAATGATAAATGAAAAAAACGCACATCGAGTAATATAATTCATGATATAGGATCAAAAAAGATGAAATGTTATTAATGGTAAATTGTACTTTGTTCATTTGAACCAAAAAACAAATTGATCCCCTAAGCAACAATAAAATAAAAAAGAAAAAGCTCAATGGCTAGATAGATCTATTTCACAATTTGCAGCAACTATCATTTAAGTCACTAGTACTCTAAAATTATGGATTGTTCTATCATAAAAAACAAGTCTCAAGCCTCTACGAGAATGGGAAAGGATCTATGTTCATTGGAGATGATCTTGTACCTTCTTCAAGAGTCTCTTTGGAATTGCATAACACCTTGGTACAAGTCTTAGTCAGATTCTCTCCTTTAATTAGAACAACTTTGTGTAAACCTTAATTTACAACAATGAGAGGCAGCAGATTTGATGGACTTCAGCAAATTGCATCAGACTTCCCAAGTTCTGAACCTTTATCTACGACCTGGCAAAAGAAAGCATTAAGCATGATTAAATAATAAATGAATGGATAAATGAAAAATGAAATTGTCATATACAATAACATCAATATGCAAGACATTGTTGTTTTGATCAAAGTCAGCCTCAACAATCAGTGAAATAATTAAATCAATCCCCTGCTTTTTTTTCATCTATATATACTTGGAAATGTATTATATTCTTGTCACGCCCCAGAACCCAAATCTGGGAACGTGACAGACGCCATGCACTTATGAGAGGGTCCCACAAATGCACAAGACTCGGAACTTATTGAGTTCTTAATTTTCGAATTGGATAATTCAAATCTAAAACTCAGGTAAACTCTAACTTTCCATTTCCAAAAATTTACTATTCCAGATATACAAAAATTTATAAACAGTCATGGCTATAACCAAGAAAACTCTGTACACAAAAATGGTTATTTGAGTCAACTATGTGAGACTAGCGGCCTAACTCCAAAAGATCTAAATCCAAAATAATGCCTAGCCGTCTAGCTTGTCACTCCCCTTGGTTTCCCGTTCTCGGTTTTGCTTCCTGAAATGGTAGACAAGGAAAACTATGAGATAAAATATCTCAGTAAGTGTTTACACCTAATTTTACAACAAATGGAGTGCTGCCATGTGTTACCCATGATGGCAGATATTTTATTAGTTGAAAGTTGGTGTGAATTTCTTCAGATGAGATTGAGTGGTTATTTCCATAACGGCAGTAAAACCGTTCTTTTGTTGCGAGCTTCTAGGAGGATAATCGCAACACCAACAAATTAATCAATTTGTTGCAGATATTACGTTGCCGTTGGTCTTTCAAGATGCTGCCGCAGATCTCCACCATGCTGCCAAGCTGCTATAAATACCTAATGATAAAATCAAGCAAAGGATCGACATCTCACACAACAAACTCAGCACAATTTCTCTTTATACTCAGATTCATCTTAGTTTCAAGCCATTTAATTCAATTTTAGCTCTACGCTTCAACCTAGATTAGTTTAGCAATTTGGTTCTTCTTTTGTCGAATTTGTAATGGTGAGTTTCGTTGCCTTCAGTAATATTTCTTTGTAATCGGATTGCTTCCTTTCCTTTATATTTGTTTTCAGATTTTATTTAATTTAATCAAATTATGTCGACATTTAATTTCATGTTCAGTTCCATTTCTGTTAATTTACATTTCATGCTGCCAGTAGATTTTTCATGCTTCGGGTTTTATTTACTTTAACTTAATTTACTTTTGCTGCAATTAAATTTCCTTTTAAAGCTCTGTTTCAAT